TCTTCCATGGAGTGGCTTCCACTAACCTTCTGGTCAGCAGTCAAATGCCTTAGGCACTGTGCCAACAGGCCTCCTTCCAAATTGGTAAGTAAAACTATCCCTGTTTGCAAATGATATGATCCTGTACACAGAAAACCCAAGAGACTCAGCAAGAAAACTACTGGAACTTATTGAAAGAATTAGCATTGTGGCAGGATACAGGTAAGGGGAGAGCCCACATGCAAGAAGAGGGAGCCAGTTTGGAACAGTAAAGGGACACAAATTTGTCTGTCAGTTTGTTGTACTGTGCTGGCTTGAGCGTAGCTGTGAGGCTGGAAGCTGTACCACAGATGTTTCAAATGCCAGCAGGGTTGCCCATGGTGGATGGATTTCAGTGGAGCTTCCAGACTGAGACATACTTGGAAGAAGGAAGAAACTATCTACTTCTCAAAGAATTGGCCAATGAAAACCTTATGAATAGCAGTGAAACACTGTCTGATATATTACTAGACAACTTTATGAAGAGCCCTGAAACAGTGTCCAATACAGTGCCAGAAGATGAGCCTCTCAGGTCAGAAGGCATTCAAAATATGATTGGGAAAGAGCTGCCTCAAAAGAGTAGAGCTGACCTTGATGATATGGATAAAGTAGAGCTTTTGGGACTTCATTTGCTGATGTGGCACTACTCAAGATGAGAAGAAACAGGTGCAAACCTCTATTAATAACTGGAGCATGAAGTATGAATCTAGGAATATTGGAAGTTGTCAAAAATGAAATACAATGCATAAAGATTGATATCCTAAGCATTAGTGAGCTAAAAATGGACTGGTTTTGGCCATTTTGACTCATAAAACCATTTTGACCTAGTATACCAGGAATGACAAATTGAAGAGGAATGGCAAGGCTTCCATCATCACAAAGAATGTTTATAGATCTATCCTAAAGTACAATGCTGTCAGTGACAGGATAACATCCATACACCTACAAGGAAGACTGCCTCATCTTTCTCCTGTGGAGCAGCTGGTGGGTTTGAACCTCTGACTTTTTGGTTAGCAGCTGAATGCTTTAACCACTGCACCACCCCAGCAAGAACATTATCCATGAAGAAAGCAAGAGATCACTAAAAAGACAAGAAGAGAAGACCAAAGTGGATGACAGAAGAGACTCTGAACCTTGCCCTTGAGCAGAGAGTAGCTAAAGCAAATGGAAGAAATGAAAAGGTAAA